TCACTACGGAAGTAGGATTGCCCAACCTTCCTTCCGAGGAGTGGCTGGTGGGTTTGAACCGCCAGCCTTCTGGTTAGCAGTCAAGTGCTTTAGCCGAGTGGTGTTAGTACCTAAGAATTAACCTAAAAATTGGCCCTGCTAGCCAGGAGCTGCACAGAGGACTGCACTGGTGGCTGGTGAATAAAAGGGAAAGCAGTGAACAGGGAGATGGGCTGAGCGGTGGACTTCTGGCTGTCTGGAGGGTGCAGCCATTTTGAATGTTTACAAGTGGTTCAACCATTTTGGATATTTAAAGCGACAGCATTCTCTCAGTTTCCAGGGACCTAAGAATAGGTTCCACTTGTCGGGAACCATAAGGACATTCTGGACACGAATGACTAGAAAGGTGCAATATTCCCCTGGTTACCCTTATACTCCACACCCAAAGAAAATGAAAATCTTGGGTGAATCATTCCAACATACAATCACCACTTAAATACAAATACAAAAATGTCACAACTTCTCAGAGACAACAGACCATCACAGTCCACACAAAGAAGCAAGATAAAACAAGGGAGCAGGATACAAACCCAGAACACATCCCTGCGGAAGAAGCAGCATTGGAACCCTGATAAAGAATTCAAAAGAAATATATTTCAGAGCCTTCAAGGACTGAGAGACAGATCAAGGAAAATACTGATGAAAGTAGGGAAAACACAGACAAAGCCCTAGAACAATTTCAGAATACAATACGAGAACAAAATGACAAAATAAATGAAAAATTAGTAATGATACAAAATCTACATGTAGAAATCCAGAAGACTAATACTAAATTTTCAGAAATAGATAACACATTGAAAGGACAAAGGAGTAGAACTGAATCAATAGAAGACAAAATTAATGAGATTAAAGACAAATACTTGATACTTCTTTGGAAAGGGATCAATCAGAAAAAAGATCAAAACAAAACAAAGAAAGCCTAAGATTCCTGTGGGATACCATCAAAAGAAATAACCTACGTGTAATTGGAAAACCAGAAGAATTATGGGAAGATATCAAGAACATTATCCATGAAGAAAGCAAGAGATCACTAAAAAGATGAGAAAAGAAGAGAAGACCAAAATGGATGATGGAAGAGACTCTGAAACTTGCCCTTGAGAGGAGAGAAGCTAAAGCCAAAGGAAGAAATGACAAGAGAGCTGAACAGAAGATTTCAAAGAGCAGCTCGAGCACACAAAACCAATTACTATAATGAAATGTGCAAAGATCTGGAGTTGGAAAGCCAAAAGGGAAGAACATGCTCAGCATTTCTCAAGCTGAAAGAACTGAAGAAAAAAATTAAAGCCTCATGTTGCAATACTGAGAGATTCTATGGGCAAAATATTGAATGATGCAGGAAACATCAAGAGAAGA